GCCGTCGCACATTTACCTAACACATCGATCTGGTCGGTCACTTATGAATCCATGGCACAGAGACTGCCGAGCTAGTTCCTGCAGCACCAACCTTCGCTTGCCCTGCCCTCATTGGCCCCACACATTTAGCCCCCGAATGGGCCCACTAGACCACTTGCCCATTCACGAAAACCAGCGGTAGACAACCGCCGACTACACCACACCATCACACATTCCTCCGCCAGCACCCACACCCATTAAAACCATCATCCATCACAAGCACCCGACTGCCACCTTCTACTCTAGGCATGGAAGGTGGCACCAGGGTTTTACCACCTTCCACTGACGCACCCAACTCAGTTCACGCAGCCTGCCCAGTTGTGTGTGTTTATATAGTGTGGCGGATTGGTGGCCTGAGAGCCAGGCTGTCACGGCTCCTTCTTAATGTGACGTCTAGCATTCTCACACATGTGCGGAGTGTGTGTGTGCCTTATGGGTAGTACCTCTCAGTCGACGACTATTTGATTACCCTGCTTCTGAAGGGTGATGACCCGGGCAAATGCAGGGCCTCGTGCCACCCTTCTGGGTCTAGAGGTCTGTGAGCGTCTGCTATGCCAGGATTAGTGAACCATGGCCCTCGCAGCCTCGTGCGTGCTGGCAGCTTTCCGACAGACCGTTGGTATGACCGCCCAGTCATCTTCGTCCTTTGACCCGTTGTGATGCTGCTGTTGTTAGCTAAGATTTCTGGTCAAATATCTTTGGGAGCCAGGGGATGTGGCGCACGCCTAAATGCGGGTCCAGCCATACCAACCACCTGCGACCTTCGTCACCTCCGGTCTTCTTGACTGTATCCTAGCACCTAACCCAGGTGGGGAGGAGGGGAGAGTGCGCCGGGTGCTGCGCAAGTCTGCTCCCACGATAAGCTGATTCACGTGCAAGTCACAGTGCCTGCTTCATCCTGCTGCGGAACGCACAGCGGACATCGCTGGGCACGACGGTCGACCCCTTGTTTGACGGGCCCCTAACTGACTGTGTTTTGGGTGCTTTGGGGGCATAAGCAGGACTAAACCATCCCATAACACGTGATTATGCGGCTCTGTTGAGTGCGGACAAGGCTTTAGGGACCGTTTTACACGCGTGTGGCAGGTTTTGAACCACCGACTTTAAGCCACATCAGCCACTAAGTTGAGTGCCATCACCAGTCGGTTGACAAAATCATACTGGTGAATGAGAGAGGGAGCAGAAGGTTTACACTACGGGATCCATCCTCACGGTAAATCAGCGCATTCTCAGGTATAATCAGTCGGATGCCTCCCGGAGTCTACCAACATGCGATAAGAGCAGTGACACAGCAAACTGACAACTAAGGCTGTAATCCCGTCCGTCTCAGGACTGAAGGTCAAACTGTAATGAGGATTTCTTATGTGGTCCTCCTGATGATCTCACATCTGTAAGATCCTGAGCCCATAGAAATTTTCCCTGGTAAGCGCATAGATACAAGCTTTTGCGCTTGGCACTGCTGCTGGGCCCACTTAAGTAGCATGCATTTTTCTCATTGATTTTCGATGCCCTTACACATTCAATTATATTTCACGGAAAACATGCAAAGCACTATCCATTCTTCTACTCATTCAGTAGAAAACTACGTCGTCTTCCATACTTATACTCGAAGGATGGACATAGATCGGTTTTAAAAATGTTTCTAGTTGTGAGATTTCCTTATACCGAGAAATTGCCGTTCATAAAACGTCATGTCTCTGCATTTACTAATGTGGCTGGTAAAGTCAACAACATGGCTCAAATTCACGGCTGAATTGTATGAACCCCATATGGTGTCCACTTAATACCGTAAAGAAATGTATGGTTTTCCGTACGCGGAAAATATTTGGTTTGTAGTTTGGAATTGTGGCAGAAATCTCTTACTGATGGGACTCCTGTATCCATAAACGCATACAAAATACAGAGGAACTTAGTCAAACGACTTACCCTCAGGACACGGCAAAACTTTGAAAAAGACCTATTGAATCGTGCTATGGAAAATCTAAAATTATTCTACGGCTACATAAGAAGCAGCACACGAAATAGAGATCCAATCCTCCTTCTGAAGGCAAGCGGAGACGTAGAGATTAGTGAGGATGCAGAAAAAGCTGAGCACTTTTCACAATTTTTCAAATCCATCTTTACTACTGAAAGTGCATTTACCCATCCCGACTACGACTTCGATGAAGGTCCAAAAATGAGTCTGTATCTTTTGATGAAGCGACGGTTCGCAAAGAGCTAATGACGCTAAATGAGTCGAAATCATCAGGTGCAGACGACATACCACCTAAGTTACTAAGGGAGCTCGCTGCCGAACTAGCCAAACCACTGTTCATGCTTTTCCAAACCTCGTTCGAAGCCGGCTGCTTGCCCGCCGACTGGAAACCTACGCGGATCACACCACTGCATAAAGGAGGCAGCAAGGCCTCTGCAAACAATTACAGGCCAATTAGCCTCACCTCCATCTGCTGCAAACTCATGGAGAAAATAATCAAGCGAGAGCTAATGCGCTTCCTAGAGCAGCATAATTTATTATCTGATGCGCAGCATGGGTTTCGTAGTGGCAGGTCTTGCGTGACTAACTTGCTCAACTGTTTGGAACGTTGGACTCGGTCAGTTGAGGAAGGCAATGCGCTGCATGTAGTCTATATCGACTTTAAAAAGGCATTTGATAGTGTCCCACATCAGCGACTCCTGCACAAACTGAGCCGAACTGGCGCTAGGGGTAACCTATTAAAATGGATTCAAAGCTTCCTATAAGACCGTTTTCAAACTGTCCATGTCGGTGGCCAGAAGTCGACGGAGGTTGCCGTTGAAAGCGGTGTTCCCCAAGGCTCAGTTCTTGGTCCTACTTTGTTCATCATTTACGTCAACGAATGCGTGAGTGAACTGGATTGTGGTGTCGCCATGTTTGCGGATGACATTAAGCTCTGGAGCGTCATTCGAACTGCAGATGACGAAGAGCATCTGCAGGCGAACCCAAACCGACTCCAACAGTGGTCAAAGGCCTGGCTTCTGCCGTTCAATGAGAGAAAATGCAATATTCTACGAGTCGGCAGAGCTCGCTCTCCGAACCATATGGCCTACTGCCTAAATGGCATACCACTGCAAGAAGTGGACTCGCAGAAGGACTTGGGAGTATGGATTACGACGTCGCTCAAACCCTCGCTCCACTGCACGAAGATAGCCAAGTCTGCATTGTCAGTCCTCTACCTTGTCAAGCGGGCTCTCTCTGCCTTTAATGAAGACTGCTTCGCTTAAGTCTTTCGAACGTTTGTGCGCCCGCAACTAGAATTTGCTATCCAAGCTTGGAGACCCTGGAACGCGAAGGACCTCAGCATCCTTGAAGGGGTTCAAAGGCGTGCAACAAAACTTGTGGCAGGACAGGGTTCACTACCATATGCAACGCGGTTAGCTAACCTTGATCTCTTTACCTTGAGTTACAGGCAGTTACGGGTTGACCTGATACAAGCCTTCCGTATCATACGAGGTCAGGACTGCTCGTACCACTAACATTCGAGACAGTTTGTCTGTACAGATCTGACGCTTAATTGTTCCCTTTATGATACCTTTTCGAGTTTTTGAGATTTTGCAGTTGCATGTACACAAATAGGGAGTTTAAAGGTGAAGACCAACATTTCCCTCAATAAACTGAACTGAACTGAACTGAACCCTGAAGGCGAGTGCAACGGCAGGTCAGGTTCAACATTATTCGGGAGTTAGAAAAGCTGTCCTTTCAGGAAATCATTCAGGGTATATCTGCCCGCCAATCTGACACCCTAAACAGCACAGCACTCAGAAAAAGCCTTGGGAACAAAAGGTTGGAAAACCCCTTCCTCAGCCATCGAGAGCTCCGTCTGTCTTTCTTAAAAGACTACTTAAAATACAGCTGCTTTGCTGCTTTAAAAATCACGAAAGTGACTTCTCCCTCAGAAAATGCGTTAAAATGCACCGTAAGAGTATTAAATACACATCAAAGTGAATCAGGACTAAATGGTATTTTTGAATGCACCGGTAAAACTTGCAATTCATTGGACTGTTTTGGGACAAGGAAAGCGAAGATTTTTACTTTTAAGATAATATATGCACTTGCACTAATTGGAATTTTTAAAAAGCGCACCTCCTTATTGCTGCTATTACAACGTGATCTCGTTACACATACTCAGGGGACATGACAATCTAAACAGATGGGATCTGAAAATTAACCAAAGAGACTGATGTGCAGTCGTATAGGTAACACGGCGACGCAAACATCGGCAAAACACCTTAACTGGGCACACGCGTTCAAGCAAATATGATTTATTTTAATGATTCCTGCTGTTGCGATCTCAGGGAATATTGCAAATAAATGTCGATTTTTCCTGCTTAGAAGTCATTATTTCACAAAGGCATAAAAGGCCACCTCTGACTTACCAGCGATTTTCAGGTGATCATGGCATCAATACCAAGTGCCGAGCACATTAAATAGCTCACGTCTATTGCCAGCCGACTACTTTCCGTGTTTCAGGCTGAACTATGTATGGTACGGAACGTGCCCAATTAGGACGTGACGCTTCACTGACAAAGGAAATGAACAAGTCGGAGACCGTATTTGAGCGTCTACTCTTGACTAATCATGAGTGCCATCGCACCAGTATTTGCAACCAGAACAGCACACATGGCCTTCGATACGCCCATCCAAACTTGCAGATTTTTAATTCCCACCCGACGCAAAGCGGTTTTCTCCCGTAGGAAGTGCAGGTTGAATCAGGACTACATTATATCCAGGAACAGACTGGATTATTCGCACCAACAATTTGAGTTTTGTTTAAACATTTTCAATTACTAAATACCCGCTGTGGCTCTGCCACCTCTCTGGTTTCGAACTTTGGAGTCCAGTTATATTTTTAAAAAACGCAGGAAGTGAGATGAAAGAGGCTGCATTTGGTTGATTTTACAAGCACACAAGGCGTTTAAAGATATGGTGAGTTCATCCACACTGATCATAGAGATAGGGCATTGAGGACAACACCGGTCGTAGTTATGCAAAACGCACATCCGAGGAGAATGTAGTTTCGAAGGCCCTTGAGTGAATAAACAGAAATAGTCGTTAATGCCTTTTGATTTGGAACCTGCAATCGCATGCCTTATAAAATGCATAAACTAAAGGCTTCCCACTGGGTGGGATCATTTTATTGCAATTGTCCCTTTTTCAAATAGTTTTGCAGTTAGTTACAAGTAAGTCTTTCGCAATATCTGTGTAAAAACTAACAAGCTTTGAGTCGATGATATACCAAAGCAATAAACTCGTGATTTCGTAAATTACTAATGGAAAGAAACAAGTTAATTTTCTGGGGCATGAGTTTGGAAACCAACGGAAATATTAAAAACACACCCATATAGTACTTCAGCCAGCATTTAAATTGGGGTCCTGTCGGTATCACTACTCAATGCAGCAAAATTGTACTGCTCTGACAACGAAAGTTATTAGATGCAATTTAATTATTTCTTATGCTGTTTCCGCAGCTAACATATCCCACTTTGCATTATGAATGTGAACGGGTGGAATGAGAGACTTACGAGGAAGCACCAAGCACAAATAGAGGTCAAACCAACGATTGCACTATGCACCCATCTTGTATACCCTAGAGATAGGGTCGGCTATTTAGATAAGAAGTCATCTATAAGACGGCATGCGACGCTTACAATGCGGCATAGTGAGGTCAATCGGAAAAATGGACCTCAAGACACACATGAACATTAGTTGGCAGTATGGAGAAGAAGCCACCGGTTGAAATTCGGAAAGCATGCATATGTTTGGGAAACAAATCCGCATCTTTGGCACCTGCCAATCCAAGAAGGGCCAGGGATATCTGGAGGCCATATACTCTAACGAATCATGCATTAAATTAGGCGCAGGGTACAAAAAGACGACCAATCCGAACGGTATAACCGTCCACGGCAGTTGCTTTTTGAAAAAATGACAAACTGGTATCGATTTTTAGACCTTTTCGAAATTTAAGCTTTTGCGCATTTACTGCATGTTTGACAACGACTTGGGGAACCAGCGTCGAAAAGGCAAGAAGTTTAGTTGGTCTTCTTCCAAAAAAAACTTTATACCTCCACTTCATATTAATTAAGACGTCTATGTTCTAACACATATACATTTGGCAAAGATATTATGCCATACTCCCGATATAAGTAAAAGCTAAAAGCCCAGGCACGGGCTTCGCCTATACTCTACCGCTGTATCAAACCGCTGCGAGGAGATCGGGTCCTCAATGCATCCTCTAGCGTTCTCTATGCGGTTTCTGGTATATGAACTCCAGAGAATAATCATACTATATATATATATAGGCCGAATAATATTACCGACAAAGACAAGGGGTAATATCATTCTGCCTATATATCATGCGCCGCTGCGCGGCTGCTGGTTGGGCTCGAGAGAGAGCCCTTTAGGAACAACGGAACGAGTGAGTTCCGTATGAACCATCGGTGAGCGCCTCCTAACATTATATATATATATATGCGTGAAGATTCGGGGTCCAGATATATTACCGTGTTTATCATCCGCCGAGGAAGAGGAAGAAGAGAAGGCGATATCATGTACCAGACTGTATTCAAACTGACGTTTCGGAAACACTCTCGTTTCCATCATCAGAGTCGGTCACTGGCGTTTCCTGCTGGCCTTGATTTGTTCAGCCCTGCCGCCGGCCTCGTATTATAACCGTGCCCAGCGCACGCACGTTGGCTGATTTTGGCCTCGCGGATCCCAGCCATTGTCGGAATTATATGCCTCCACCTCATATTAATTAGGACGTCTATGTTCTAACACATATACATTTGGCAAAGGTATTATGCCATACTCCCGATATAAGTAAAAGCTAAAAGCCCTGGCACGGGCTTCGCCGATATCCTACCGCTGTATCAAACCGATGCGAGGGGTTCGGCCCCTCAGTGGATCCTCTAGCGTTCTCTATGCGGTTTCTGGTATATGAACTCCAGATAATAATCATACACTATATATATATATATATTATGATAGTGGGCGCTCACCGATCAGGTTACGGAACATGCTCGTTCCGTTGTGCCTTGGGGCTCATACTTAAACCCTCGCAGGCAGTCGCACAGCGACTAGTGATATATGTTGGAAAGGTAATACCGCCCACTATCATAATTAATATTCCCGATCACAACCGACAGGACAACGGGCCCGTGGCTCAATGGTAGAGCGTTCAACTCCATGACCAAAGATCCCGGGTTCGAATCTCAAGTGATCCACACTTGGGGTTGGGTATGACTGGCTGATGACGGCTAATAAGCCAGAAATGGCCATTCCGGTCTCCCTTGTCTTTGTCGGTATTACCTTTCCATATATATATATATATATATACCATAAATGAAATTGGACAGTCTCGGGATATGGTATCCTCAGCAACTTCAAGCAGCTCAGTCCAGCTTTCTAAGAAAAAATAATGGTTGACCGTGCAGGCTGTCGGCATTTTACACCTCTTAATAAACCTTACAACCAGCAAGGATATCTGACATCTTCACAATTAACTTTGTGAGTTGAAAAATAAAATAAAAGGAGAAAAAATATCCATTATTATGCGAAAAAAATCAAATCCATGACAGTTGAAAATCAGTCCAGAAGTCGAAAAATTGTATCCCACTTAAACTGGATCCCCACCATTTCCGCTCGCCTCGCTTTTAAATGCACACACTAAGAAACTGACGTTAAGCGTGAGTTCACAATATTACTGGGGGGGGGGAGGGAAGATAATTTTATGGAAGACGGCCAAAAAACAGTCCTTCGTCCTATGTAAAAAAGCCGCAATGGTAGATATTTGAAGTCTTACGAATAGGAGATATAGATAGACGACCGAAAACCGACTAACGTCGACGAAAAGCTAACTTGCAAACTGAAAGTTCTCATCTGCAGCCATTGTCAAGAAAGAAGATCCAGTAATAAAAGGCGAAATGTGCAAGAATATGTTCGACAAAAGCGAGTAAAAACTTTCACTGAATTCTCTAAAGTTGATAGGAAATCATCGAAAATTTCTGCTATTATCTAGCCAATTTCAGTTACTACTGGAAAAATTTCCAATTTGCAGTCAAGCGCTACCCACAAATGGCTAAACTTTGTCGATTACGTGGAAGAAAGTGTCCTCTATATGTGTAATTGAGGCCGACGAATAGAAACCCAGTAAAGCCTACCGAGGGAGGTCAAAGGTATTTATGGAAAAGCTGCTCAGCGGACTCACTCTGATCTCCTTGAAGAAGATTACGCCACAGAGTGTGGTAATCAGAGCTGGCACAGTGGTAACGATCGGGAAGGTGATGGGTTCGCCTAGGGACGTGTTTGATATAGACCAGGCCGTCTCCGCGATTGCCCAGAGAATTCCACTGCCAAGGGCCGGCAGAATGGCACTAGGGGCGGGGATCCAGGGTTTGTTGCGTTTGATACAGGCGTAGATGACGAATATGACAGTGGAGGCGAGCCAGACCCCAGCGCAAACAGGGAACACATAGTCAAGTCCTAAAAATTTCAAAGAGATGAGCGGAAGTTGTGTAATGGTCCCAAAAAGCGCGGGCGCCAAATTTTGGGCAGAATAATTTTACTCTGCTTTCGCATGAATACAAATACTCATATCGCGCTCCACTGCTGTTTGGTATGAAACGTAACCTCGGGTTGTTTCACACAGGGCAGAATCTTAGCTGAGAAAAAACCCCGGGGAGTTCGACTATCTCCTTGCTGTCTTAAAGTCCGTTTGCCCTTATGGGTCCAAAAATTCTCGCAACTGCAATATCGCAAACGTCTAGGAAATGGACTTCCTTGCACAAATAAGATGTTAGTATGATACCTGAACATTTAATAGGACTGGTAAGGACATAGTTAAAAGTACTGCTTGTCTCAATTATGCTAAGAGTCGCATTCAAAACTGAAGGTGACGGGATTATTAGAGGAGACTTTTTATTGACTAGCCTCCATCCCATGCCCGACCATGAAGGTTTGACATTTCAGTTACCCATGGGTATGGGTGTCTACCGGATGTGTTGCGGGGCGTACTTGTAGAGCGCTTGCAGGCAGTCACGCACTGACCAATATGTAGAAGGTGAAGAGAACAACCAGCTGGCCTTCCTGGATGTCCTCGTATGCCGCAAACATTGTGGCGAACTAAAAACCAACGTGTTCAGGAAAGCGACAAATACGATGCAAGTACTGAACTTCAACAGTAACCACCCAATCAGCCACAAACGCAGTTGTGTAAGGACGCTCTTTCGGCGTGTCGAAACGCGCTGCAGTGAGCCGGAAGACAAAATTGACGAACTACAATACCTCCGACGGGTCTTCAAAGCCAATGGCTACCCGCGCAACTTCGTCGACCGGTGCATACGCAAAAGGGACGAAAGGCCTAACCGCACGGACACCAAATCTTGGCGGGCACTTCCGTATGTCAAGAACGTTTTGGAAGCTGTCGGCCGCCTTCTCGCACCACTTGGGGTTGGAGTGGCACACAGACCGGAGGCAACCATCAGGCGTCTGGTCATGAAACCGAAAGACCCACTGCCACGGCTAGAAACGTCTGGAGTCGTTTATCGGGTCTGGTACAGTTGCGGACAAAGCAACTACGTCGGAGAAACCGGAAGACAGCTCCAAACGAGAATGGCCAAACACGCGGCAACGGTGCACAGAAATGACACCAGCTCTCAAGTTGCGGCTCATTCGACGAGATCCGGCCACACATTCAACTTCGATGAGGCCGAAATTCTCGCAAGAGGTCAAAACCGCGTGAGCCGGGAGCTACTGGAGTCATGGTTTACTGGCCCCCAGTCCATCAACAAGTGCAACGATCTTCCCACTCTATACTGCGTGCTAAAATTTCGCCAAGGCGGAGTAACAAGTCACGCGAGGAGCGCAGAGGTGAGCACTTTTCCCAACACCGGGGTCGGTGGGTCAGATGGTCGAGCCATCATCACGCCAACATCCAACGCACGTGATGAAATTGCAGCAATTATCGACTCGAATGTCGGTCATCAAGCAGTGATCACACCACGTGCGACGATCTCGGATGAAGGGGGGAGCCGTGAATGTTCATAGGTATGCGGTAGCATGGCTACTGCATCCTATAAATACCGCAGCCCCTTGTGCAGCAACCACCCGTTTCTGCTTTTTTGTCTCTGATGATGGATTCGAGTAGGAATCCGAAACGTCAGGCTAATAAAGCTCTTGTCCCGGCGATCGTGTCTCCTTATTCAAGGTGAGTACTGCTGGAGGATGGTTGGGATGGCCATTCCCGGCTTTATGGGAATCGTCAGTCGAGTTTGTTCGAGCTGAAATTAGAAATCGCGTACTTCCTCAACTCAAGAGTTTTATATACTCTTAAATTTTTGCCGCAATCGCAGTCATTCCTCCGATAAAACTATAGCTTTCATAGACTTTTAGTCAGTAGGTATCCGCAGTTGCGAATACCATGACGACGGATCATGCCCCTCCCCAGCCAACTTTCTCCACATCTACTATCATAATAAGAGTATCCATGACTGAAGCGTATGTCCAACTGTAGGTCCCGTTGCGCTTGGATTCAGGTCGTCGCAGCTGGCTATCTCAGTGTGTAGGGGCTAGAATTTATATCGAAATAACTCACGAAAGGTGGCAGACTTAGGATCGACTATTCCGTCGCGGAGTCCTATTAGGAGAGCAGGCGTTTTCAGGACCAACAATGCGAGTGACGCCATTCCGACTAAGGGCTGAAAGTGGGGCAGACATTGGGCGTGTTTTCTGGAAAACTACTATCGGCTCACCAGGAGATGTAAGCAGACAGTTTTGAGGCATATTTTTTAGCCCCGTACCCTGTTACGGACAAGCAGTGTTTATTAGCTATGGTGACTTTAAAACCCTGACTGCCGACATGCAGAGAGAACGCTATTTGAATCAGTTTGAGTCTCCTCAGCAAGAGACTTGAAATGTAAGTTCCCTGAAGTGTCCTGTACGAAAGGGACAAAGACGACTTGTGCGAGATTTTGTCTATTAAAAGGAAGATGCTCAGTGATGGTCGCACTCTCCTCCACCCAGTGACCCGTTTTCGCGTGTAAGTTAAATCGACCTTTAATATCGACCCAATTGTGAAAAACTCGGTGCCTCGGTGGGATTTAAACCCACGCAGTAAGGGGAAGGCTTTAGTACAGCCAACGCTCTAACCACTTGAGCTACGAGGCCCCGCCGGACGACGTGAGTTTAATAACATTTGGGTCAAGTCACCCGCCCAACCTACTGCAACGTCTGGAATCCACCAAATCTGATACAGTAAGTTGACTGCCCAAACAGGATTTCCTAAGTAAATCACCTAGGATCCACCAGATGACTACCAGGCTCACGTAATTCATGGATGTTTTGTCAGATTTTGAATGATTCATATTGACCCAAATGTGAAAAACTTGGCGCCTCGGTGGGATTCGAACCCACGACAGCAAGGGGAAGGCTTTAGTGCAGCTAACATCAATGAAGATTATTACATCAAACACCACCCTCGGGCCTCGGGCTCGTAGTCCCTTCGGGAATATTAACTTATTTTGGAAGTGCGTTTACCGGTCGGGACCCGGTGACACGTTCAGCTCGTTGGCCCGTCGACCTCAACGAATCATTTCAGCAAAATGCAATATCCTTGAAAAGTATTAGAAAGATGCATTGTTTCCAGATAGGCTACTGGTAAAGACCCGCACAATTCTAATTTCACAGAATGCACTCTTCTATTAGAAAGTGTTCTTTGAGGAGGGGAAGTGCATGATAATTTTTTCAATATCGCCTCTGGCGACATTATGTCAAAACTTTAGGCCGGAAGATTCCCTGCATTACTCTCGTCTATAAGAAACATAGGCAGCAAACAAGCGCATAAGACGAAGACCAAAGCCATTTCCAGCCGATAAGTGCAATCACAGTCATATAGGCAATTTCTGTCTTAAATTTCGGTCGACAACATCTACACTATTCTCTTTAAATCCAATCTAAGAATTTACGCGCTCTCTCTCTCTCGATAAATGCGACCATAGTGCTATCAGCAAGTCTCTCCAGATTTCAATCGACAACATTCCGCAGAAAATTTTCCTATTCCCGTCTCTCAGTTAGTGGTCGTTAAACGGGTCAAAAAGGCTACAGTGTATAATTTACTAGACGTTTTAATAAAACAATGTTTACCCTGTTGGCTTGCGTTTTCATAATTTCCCTGAATGTAAAGTGTGGGGACGAAGATATTTCCGAAGAGCGTACCAGTGCAAAGGGCCATGAAGATGCCGCTGAAATGTTAAAGATTTTTCTTAGTACAGTTGATGAAGGTAATTGCAGTGGCTTTCGCCGTGGTTTTTTCAATGTCTGCCAAGGAGATCATGCATCGTCTTCAAGCCTATGCAGTCAAACACATCCTAGTCAAAGGCCAGCCATAAAATTCCCTTTTTTATAAACAGAGGCGTGGTACCCTGAGGTCCGCTAAAGATACTGTTTTTTAAAAGAAAGCTGAAGACATGATAGCCTACCCTAGGTAGTTAAATGACTCTGACTCTAAAACAAGGACTGCGTCTAAGGGTATCTGCTTATCGGACATGTAAAGATGGAAGGCTCCTAAGAAGTTGCCTTAGCAACAGAAAATGAGCTGCTGAATGCACTGACATGCCAACAGCCCTAGAAGAACTACTGACTTTACAGATATGACAACGTTAGGAGCTACCTGGACATCTAAAAAGCGCGAGGTGTGTGCGTGGAGGGTGTAGGGGTGTCCAGCGGTGGGTCCATGTGATGGCCGTAGTGGTCACTCACTTGCTTGCAGGTGAGACTATGCCTAGAGTCCCTTTGCTGGCACCCAAATCTCACCTGTGGCTCCACGTAGCTGGGCTCTGCTCAGCGGTCACACCCCGGGAAACCGTCTCGATCGGCGGGCTAAACCAGGTGAGGGCGGTCACTTCCGGTGCACGTTTTGCCATGTGCACAGGGTACCGCGGACTACGCTGGTCAGCCGGTTGGTGGAACGTCGCGTCGGCATCGCCGAGACGAGGATCCGCCTGGTACGCCGTTGGTCAGCCGGTGGGATGGATCTTCGAATCGGCATCGCCGACACGCGCCCATCCAGTGCACCGTAGGAGACCGCGGGCTTACGATGATGTCGTAAGTCATTGGCAAACTCGAGTCGTTCTTCCACTGCCAACAAAATTCGTGGCCCACAGTGGATTTCGGCAGCGCCGGCACGCCAAGCAGCCCTATTCGGGGACGGGCATTGATTCTCTTCGGAGGAGGCCTGGAAAAGATTGCCTAAACATTTCCGGGAAACCACGTCGTCTGCAGGCTGACCGTGGTCGCAGACGTAAGACTCACGGCCGGAACAACCAAACTCGAAGCAACATCAACAACAACAACAACAACAACAACCATACTCTCTCTCTCTCTCCCTAATCCTGCCTCTTCTTCCTCTTCCTCTGCCCATTCTTCTCCTTCGTCACCTTCTTCTCCACCTCCGTCCCGTCGCCCCACTCGTTGTCACCTGACTGGCAGGGTGAGTCTGCTCACTCTAGCGGCCTGGAATGTGCGTTCCCTGTTAGACAATCCGAAGAGCAACCGACCGGAACAGAGGACGGCGCTAATGGCACGAGAACTGGCGTGCTACAAGGTGGACATCGCCGCACTCAGCGAGACCCGATTCTCCGAACAAGGCCAACTGGAGGCGGTGGGTGCCGGCTACACCATCTTCTGGAGTGGTCGGCCCAGGCCAGAGCGACGAGACGCGGGTGTCGCCTTCGCCATCCGGAACGACATCGTGGGACGACTGCTCAGCCTGCCACAGGGAATCAACGATCGCCTGACGAGCCTCCGTCTGCCTCTTCGGGGAGGCAAATTCGCCACCATCATTAGCGCCTACGCTCCGCCGATGAGCAGCCCCGACGCCGCCGCAAGAAACAAATTCTACAAGGACCTGCACGCCCTCTTGGCGACTGTGTCGAAGGCGGACAAGTTGATTGCCCTTGGCGACTTCAACGCCCGCGTCGGCACAGACCATGCTGCCAGGAGAGGAGTGCTGGGTCCCCACGGTCTCCTCGGCTCAAACGACAATGTTTTGCTGCTTCTCCGCACCTGCGCAGAACGCCGCCTCATCCTGACGAACACATTCTTCTGTCTGTCGGAGCAAGAGAAGACCACCTGGAGGCATCCTCGGTCGCGTCAGTGGCACCTGTTGGACTATGGCCTCGTCCGGCGGCGAGATCAGCGGGATGTGCTGGTGACAAAGGCGATCCCGGGTGCTGACGGGTGGACAGACCATGGCCTCGTCATCTCGAAGATGCGTATTCGCCTACAGCCTCACAGGAGACCACAAGGTAAGCGACCCTCAGATAAGCTGAATATTGCCTTGTTGTCTTTGCCCGCCTACCATTTCCATTTCAACAATGAGCTAGCTCAACGGCTAGACAACCTTCCAATCGCTGCTGTCGCCGACGCCGCCGCTGCCGAGAACGCCTCCGTGGAGAACCTGTGGTGTCAACTGCGAGACACGGTCCAGTCGACGGCGCTAGCCGTCCTTGGTCGCGCACGCCGCCAACACCAGAACTGGTTCGACGACAACGACGCCGTCATCAGCAATCTGCTCGCCGAGAAGAACCGCCTACACAAGGCCTACATAGAGCACCCTACTGATGCCAACAAAGCTGCTTTCTACCGCAGTCGCTGCCTCCTACAACAGCGACTGCGCGAGATGCAGGACGCCTGGACTGCCAGCAAGGCTGAGGAGATCCAAGTATACTAGGACCGCAACGAAGGGAAGAACTTCTTCTCCGCGATCAAAGCTGTCTACGGTCCGCCAACGAAGGGCACTGCTCCTCTCCTCAGCGCCGACGGTAGTACTCTCCTGACTGGGAAGACGCAAATTCTACAGAGATGGACCGAGCACTTCCGAGGCGTCCTAAACCACCCTTCCACCATCTCTGACGTTGCCGTCGACCGTTTACCGCAAGTGAAGAGCAACGTGGACCTCGACCCCCGCCATCCCTCCAGGAGACCATCAGGGCCGTGCAGCAGCTCTCCAGCGGGAAAGCACCCGAATCGGACGCGATCCCTGCTGAGGTCTACATGCACGGAGGTCCCCAACTGATGGATCACCTGATTGCGCTCTTCCAAGAGATGTGGCGTCAAGGTGAAGTCCCGCAAGATTTCAAGGACGCAACTATCGTGCACCTATACAAGCGAAAAGGGAATCGCCAAGTCTGCGACAATCATCGCGGCATCTCCATGCTGAACATCGCCGGGAAGATCTTCGCCCGCATCCTTCTCAACCGCCTCAATAACCATCTGGAACAGGGCCTTCTGCCGGAAAGCCAATGCGGCTTCCGTCCTCATCGTGGGACCGCGGATATGATATTCGCTGCCCGTCAACTTCAGGAAAAGTGTCAGGAGATGCGGACTTACCTGTACTCTACCTTCGTGGACCTGACGAAAGCCTTCGACACGGTGAATCGTGAAGGACTGTGGAAGATCATGCAGAAATTCGGCTGTCCGGAGCGATTCACTCAGATGGTGCGTCAGCTGCACGACGGTATGATGGCGCGAGTCACGGACAACAGAGCTGTCTCAGAGGCATTCGCAGTGACCAACGGAGTGAAGCAGGGCTGCGTGCTGGCGCCTACCCTCTTCAGTCTTATGTTCTCTGCCATGCTGATGGACGCCTACCGCAACGAACGCCCCGGGATCCGCATCGCCTACAGGACGGACGGTCATCTGCTGAATCAACGACGGATGCACTTCCAATCGCGCGTATCCACAACAACCGCTCACGAACTCCTCTTCGCCGACGACTGCGCCCTGAACACCACCTCGGAAGAGGAGATGCAACGGAGCATGGGCCTGTTCTCCGCCGCCTGCGAGAACTTCGGTCTGTTCATTAACACGCAGAAGACGGTGGTGATGCACCAGTCGCCACCCCACTCAGTCACAGCCGCCAACGCGTCGCCGCAAATCAGCGTGAACGGAGCCCAACTGCAAGTGGTGGAGAACTTCTCGTACCTGGGCAGTACTCTCTCCCGCAACACCAAGATCGACGACGAAGTCGCCAACAGGATCTCGAAAGCCAGTTAAGCCTTCGGTCGCCTCCAAAGCACAGTTTGGAATCGCCACGTTCTTCAGCTGAGCACGAAGCTGAAGATTTACAAGGCCGTCATCCTGCCGACGCTGCTGTAAGAGCGGAGACTTGGACAGTGTACACAAAGCAGGCACGCCGACTGAACCACTTCCAACTCAGTTGTCTTTGTCGCATCCTGAGGCTGAACTGGCAGGATCGAATCCCCGACACTGATGTGCTGGAACGGACGGGAATCCTCAGCATCTACACCATGCTGAGACAAATGCAGCTGCGTTGGAGCGGCCACCTGGTGCGCATGGACGACGAGCGACTACCCATAAGACTCTTCTACGGAGACGTCGCGACGGGCTCTCGCTGCCAAGAAGGCCAAATTCGTCAATACAAGGATACCCTGAAGTCCTCCCTGAAGCGTCTGCAAATCAACCCGACCAACTGGGAAGAGCTCGCGCGCGATCGTCTGACCTGGAGGAGAACAGTGAAGACGGGCGCTGCTATTTACAAATCCAGCCGCATCGCCGCCGCCAAAGTGAAACGCGAAGCACGCAAATCACAACTGCGTCCGGTACGCAACGCCGACGCCCAATCGCTACCAACGCGTCCTCGATGTCAACAGACATTCCGGGCTCGACTCGGACTTGTTAGACATCTTCGGATAAACTGTACTTCCCGGACCGCACCGACCGCTGTCCCTCCGCCCGCCTATTCCTTGTCCTCTCTGCCGCCAACTTCCTCCGACAGTTTTTCTGAACCACCACTTCCATCCTTCTCCTCCTCCTCCTCCTCCTCCTCCTCCTCCTCCTCCTCCCGCTCCACTCTCCCAACAACCGACACCACCCCAACTGCCTCCGACTCCAGCGATGAGGATCACTGTCCTCACTGCGACCGCGCCTTCACCTCACGCAACGGCCTGGTCGGTCACTTGCGAATCCATCGCACAGAGACTGGCAAACCAGTGCCTGGAGCACCAACCTACACCCACCGCACCCGCCTCCACTGCCCACACTGCCCTCGCACCTTCACAAATCGCATGGGTCTATTCGGCCACATGCGAATCCACGAGAGCGGAATTGACGGCAATTTCGACACACCCACCACATCCAACACATCCACCATGCCCAGCCCCACCCTCGCTCCATCGCCTTGCGCGCCCATCACCACCACCGCCTCCTCTGTAGCTGACACCGACATCGCCGACTTCTCATGCCCACACTGTCGACGCACGTTCACCTCTCGCATCGGCCTGGTCGGTCATTTGCGAATCCGTTGCTTAGAGACTGGCGAACCAATGCCTGGAGCATCAATCTATACCCACCAAGTTCGTCTCAACTGCCCACACTGCCCTCGAACCTTCAGGCATCGCATGGGCCTATTCGGCCACATGTGCATCCACGACGACCTGCGGTAGACAACCGCCGGCCACACCACACATTCACTCACTCCCTACCTCCTCCACCACCACCATCACCCCACCAGAAATCAACACTCACACACCTCATGCACCCAACTGCCACCTCCCACGCAAGTGGGAAGTCCGCATCTCGACTCGGTCCCCATGCGGCTTCGGCTGCACGGGGGACTTGAGTCCGAGACTATCCCGACACGTCAAGCGTCGTGGATAGGAAGGTTGCTGATTGACGCCCCACTCGGTCCACGCAGTCCGTCCCGTTGTGTGTGTGTGTGTTGTGTGGAGTGGCGGACTGGTGGGCTGGGGACGGGCTGAAACAGCACCTTCCACGGCCCTCTCACGCAAGTGAGAGATACGCCGTTCCACCCCCGTTGTGTGAAATCCTGGTGTTTGTGTGTATGGGGGGCTAGGTCGTGCTGTGGCGCGCGCAGGCATGGTCAGTCGACCGTGTCAGCCACCGCGCCCATTCCCCACTCCAGTTTGCCGACCGGCTCGGACGGCGGCTGGAGTGTGGGAATGGGAAGGGAGAGTGAGGTCGACGACTCAGCGCATTTTCCTCACTATAAACAATCTGACGCGCTTGAAGCTATCACGGTGCGCTAAAAGCCGTGGCTTGGAAGGTTGCCAACTGACGGGATAACTTGGACCTCCTCCTCGACTGGTGGGGGTCTGACAGTCAGGCTGCAATGGCTCCTTAATGTGGCCTTTATGGCACTCCCATCACAGTGTGGGATCCGAGCCAGGCGTTGGCGGCACGCCTAGGTGCGGCTTCGGTCGTACCAGCCTACAAATCTCTGTTGTTGGTTGAAATCCTGGTCATTTGTTGTGTGGACCAGGGGGTGTGGTGGAACGCCAAGGTGAGGATCCGTCCGAGCCATCCACTTGCGGCCTCCCTCGCCTCCGGTCTTCTTGACTCTGTGTTGACACCGGGCTCAGGCGGGGGAGGAGGAGAGAGTGTAGGTAGAACGACGGTCGAACTGTCGTCGTATGTGTGTGTGTGTGTGCGCGCGTGTGTGTGTGTGTCCGTTTGTTTAGTATCGCAATAGACCAATATAAGGTACACAGAAACATTAACTAAACCGAAAAGATGGTTATGTACTCCAACTCTTACAGGATTCTTCGCTGAACCATGGGCATCTGGCTGACAGGCTTGCAACATCGCGAACCGCCGCTCTCGATCTCTGGCTCCAGTTCACTCTCAGACTCTATTATACTGCCCGGTGCTTTTTCGTTCGTTGACTCTTTGTAACTCATGCTATCGTAGTTTTCGCTCATCATATCCTCCATTTCAAATTCTGATTCTTTATCGCTTTTTTGATTTGGCCTGATTGCGGCGTAAATTATGACACTGAAAGGAGCAAGGGTTGGCATGTTAACACTAGGGGAGAGCATAAACCAGCTGATAACATCAGTTGGCGGTAAAAAGTGCAAACATTTTTTATCATTGGCGGCTGTGTACTCGAATGATGGTAACAGGCAGGACGGGGGAAGTTTTAGGCGATAGGAAGATACCGACAGTCTGAACTAGCATTAGAGGTCACTAGCCATGGGACACGCGTAAAAGCCTATGACATCACCAGGAACAGCGATCATCAGCGACGAATAAGTGCTGTGTGCATTGCATCACTCCGGTGCTTATATATATATATAGAGTAGACGTGGTATACAATTCGAGACAATATAATGAAAAAGAAGAGGTTCTTCGGAAAAAATCGAGGTGTACTCGTGAATTTTCGAACTGGTGACACCAACCCGTCGTCAGACAAAATGAAGTTAAAAGAGAAAGAGTGAGGAAGTCACACGAGACGAATTCACGCGACAGGACAAACATTGATGGGCGGACCATTAGCGTGTGAGGAGTGATGTGGGCAGGGAGTCATGCTGGGTTTTGTGCCGGGGGGTGGGAGAAGGAGAAGGGGGAGAGAACAGTTATGGCTCCCCGTGTTAGAGGGGAGGGAGAATGGTAGGTTGGCGGAACTGCGGCCGCCTGGATTAGCGGTCGCTGATGTGGCCATCAAGAAGAAGGTTAATGAGCTTGGTCGTCTGGACGTCATAGGTCAGATGACTCAAAGCTCATGACCCTCAGTGATCCCATATCGCACACGCGTACGGTCTCCCAAAGCTTCACAAAATGGTGTCCACTGAGGCTAATAGTATCGTTATTTAGCCAAATGGTAGTACGAGCATCTGAAGCCGCTAACTCACGGATCTCACTACAGCATTAACAGCTCCCACGAATTCCTCCACCGGATCGACGGCCTCAATGTAAGCACTTATGAATGCCTCTTGTCTTTTGACGTCGTTGCCTTATTTTCTACTATACCACACGATTTGGCAATTGACTGCGTAGCCCAACGGTTACAATACAATCCTGTTGATATCCCAGCACAGCATGTTATAGAACTGCTCAAACTCTGTTTTAAGTTCGACAGTAAATAGCACCAAGAGGTGAAGGGAAGTCCAATGGGCTTCCCAATATCCCGACTACTCGCCGAACTAGTGCTACAGCGACTAGAAGATGAGGTTTTTCAAACTCTCAACCCCAAAATGTGGCTCCGCTATGTCGACGACACCTTTGTCGTAATAGAAAACCGCGAAGTCGATAGGCTACATCAGAGGTTGAATGATGCCTTTCCGGCCATACAATTTACAAGAGAAGAGACAGTTGGAGACAGTCTGTCGTTTCAGGACGTAAAAATACAAAGGCTGGACGACGATAGTCTCGCAACCAGTGTCTACAGAAAAGAGTCTGATTCTGAGATCATCCTCAATTATGGAAGCAATCATCCTGCGGCTCATAAAAGAAGCTGCGTCCGAACTCTCTTCCACCGGGCCCACCGTTATTGCAGCAATGACGATCCCCTGAAAAAGAACTAGCTTATATGTATCGGTTATTTCGATCTAACGGATATCCGAGCAGTTTTGTGAATAACAACCTCTGGCGTCAGGCACAACCTCGAGGCGCGTTCCTCAAATGGAGAAATCTTCACAAAATATTCTTCTTCCTGCCCTATATGCAGGGACCTCAGTAACGATCGCCCGTCAGCTAAATCAGTTCGGTAGCCACGTTGCCCACAAGCCTGCCTCTCGCCGTGCGCAGCCTTATCTCGAGTAAAGGATTCTATCCCCAAAGAGGAGCATCCCGCGTGCCAATTGCTCCTGCGTATATGTTGGTCATACAGGACGACCCCCGGGAACTCGACTTAATGAACACAAGCTAGCTATCCGTCGCCGTGCCCCACTGTCCCTCGTCTTTGCATACGCACTCCAGTGCGACCGCCGTTTCGGTCGGGATGACACCGAGGTCATCGCCACGGCCAACACAAAACGGGCGAGAGAATTCCTAGAGGCATGACACTAACGCGGACAGCATCAACCGCCACGTTGCCCTAGACGTCCATTATGAGGGTCTAGGATCACGCCTCACTAAGCCCAGCCCCACGCCGCATCAGCAGACGCTAATCCAGGCGCCCGCAATTCCGCCAACCGGCCATTCTCCCTCCCCTCTAATACGGGGAGTCGTAACTGTTCTCTCTCCCTCCTCCTTCTCCCACCCCTCCCGACTAAAAACCCAGCAGGACTTCCTGCCCGCATCAATCCTCACACCTAATGGTCTGTCCAGCAATGTTTGTCCTGTCGCGTCAACTAGCCTAGTGTGACTTCCTCACTCTCTCTCCCTCTCTTTTAACTTCATTTTGTCTGACGACGGGTTGGTGTCACCAGATCGAAAATTCACGAGTACAACTCGATTTTTTTCGAAGAACCTCTTATTTTTTCACTATATTTTCTCGAAATGCATACCACTTCTACTCTACATACTAATCATTATTGCGAATTCGCCCAAGTAATCCCCTCTAACCGAAATTGCATTTCTTAATTTCGCTTAATATGCCATGAGGTAAGTTACGTACAGTAAATTGTTTGACAGTCGTCGGACACCGTCTCATAAACTCAAGCCTGACGCCCTAAATCCAACGCTTCTCCCTCGCTGCAACTGACGAAGAGTCGGCCCCCACAGCAAATGGGTCAAAGTGGTCAACTATGGGTGTTTTTGGACGTCAATTTTGGTCTTCGTCGCTGTAGCTCACCAGATCCACCAGAAAGATCGCTACGCATGGATGCGCACCGTGAGAACGATCAACGGGTCGGCTAAACAAAATGATAGCACTATTACTAAACACAATTACAAGTACGGCCGGAAAGGATTAAGTGCATGCGCGGGGTAGAAGGATGCTTACTGTCGTTTAAATAATTCACCAGCGTTTAAACTCTCCTGCTTTACTGGCAGACGTGTGCATTCCATCTAACAATATTTCGAGTATTTGTTCTACTACCTGACTGATCTCCATTCCGAGCTTTTACATTAAGAATAAGATTTTTCCTTACTCAAAAATTACCTGTGGGCGGTGCAGAGCAATGAACCAATGTCGACATTTCAGCGGCGTCGAATCCTCGGGGTGGTACAGGTCAACGAATTTCATCCTACCGACGACGGGGCGGCCAAGTACTCTACCCAACAACACCTACTTTTGAAAATATTATGGGTGTTATACACTTCGGGGTTGGGTATGAGTGGTTGATGACGGCTAATAAGCCAGAAATTGCCGTTCCAGTCTCCCTTGTCTTTGTCGGTAATACCATTCTGCCTATATATCATGCGCCGCTGTGCGGCTGCTGGTTGGGCTCGAAAGAGAGCCCTTAAGGCACAACGGAACGAGTGAGTTCCGTAAGAACGATCGGTGAGCGCCCTCTACCATATATGTGTATATATAGGCAGTATGTTATTACCGACAAAAACAAGGTAGACTGGAATGGCCATTTCTGCCTTATTAGCCATCGTCAGCCAGTCATATCCAGCCCCGAAATGTGGAAAACCCGAGGCTCGAACTCGCGACCTGTTAGTTAGAAGTCCACGCCTCTTATCATTGGGCTACGAGCCCGTTGCCCTGTGGGTTTTCGATCGGAAATATACAATGGTGAGCGCTGGTGGTGGTCAGGGT